TAGTAACTGGCAGGGCTGGGATTCAGACCAGATGGCTGCTGGTTCATACTGTTTCTCATTAAACTTAAGGACTGTCAGTCATCTCTAGAAAATGTGGGATGACTCTATACCCTTGCCAGGAGTTTGGGTCCCTTTATTGTGGGTCTGGTGATTGCATAGGAATTCCCTAAAATATACTCCTGAGCTGAAGACATCCTCCTGACTGGAAAGGGTATCTCACAGTTAACTTCATTCTGGACCTGCATCTTTCAAAGAAGGGCAGGATGTCTAACAGCCATTCAACCCTTGCCATTCCACCTTCCTAGACATTTCCACTATTGGAAAGATGCCCAGTTTTCTCCAATCATTCCTCTCCTTGAATAGTTCCAAAGGTTTCCCAGTATCATCAGAAAACCAAATCACAGGGGCAAATTTAGCATCAAGGAAACAGATAATATAGCTCCATTTAAATATTTAAAACATATATCCAAATTTATACTAGCTACTGAGGAAAGAAAGCAAAGAATTACAAAACATGGCCTATGCCAACAAAAGTCCAATGATGGTCAAGAAAGTCTTCATGATCCTTTCAATTTTAATGCTTCAGATTTCTAGCTACCTGGACTCCTTTGATGGACTTATGGGATGGTTTACAAATGATTAATTTTAAGGCAAAGCTTCTGAGACCACTGAAGCATTAAGAGCACGTCAAGTGGAAACACACACCTCTAAAATTATAACTGCAATAAATAAGTAAATTTGATTGACAAAAATTGTCTGCTAAAATTATAACTGCAATAAATAAGTAAATTTGATTGACAAAAATTGTCTGCATCCCTGTTTTGTGATTTAATTTTAAATTTGAAAGAAATTATCTTAGGCAGGGACAAAGGTTTGCTTGCTTGGAAGTAATTTATTTGGGAGCAAGTGTTAAGGATGAAAAAGGGATAGACGGAATGAGGGAGAGACAGTACAGTATGCATTGTTGCATTAGCCACCCAAATGGATGAGTGGTACTCATCCCACAGAACCTTTTGAAGAGCCTTATGAAATCTCAGGATTGCCTACTCCGAAGGATGAAAGGAGGAAGCACTTATCCAAAGGTTCCCCATTAGTTAAAGGTGGTCCACACTTTTGGATCGTGCACATGGTACTGCAGAGCAAGTTCCTGTGAGTGTACCACACTGCAATATCAGAGAAGCTCTGGGGCAGGAGGCAAGAGGTACATGGCAGGGTCCTGACACCATCAGGTGGCATCCACCTGAATCTGATGAAATGTCTTAGCTTAAGAGGTGAGGCTGAGAACTTGCAAAGTGGCATGCAAAAGGTGTCCAATACAAAACCATTATCAGCAGTTTGACGTACATCTGCCCAGACACAGTTTTTAAAGGACATCATTAATTCACTGATTCAGTCAATCATAAACCCATTCAACAAACACTAATTAAGCATCAACCACGTGCCACTGACTATGTTAAGTACAAGGGATAGAGCAGATGGTCACTCATAAGCGCTTTGTTCTCTTGGAATTTGCAGGCTCTTTGGGGAAATCAGGCATTAAATAAGACATTATAATTGTTACTGAATTACAATTGTGATAACTGTTACCAAGTGTAGGATGATAAACTTTCTAGCCAGGAGAATTAAGGAAGGCTTCCCTGAGGAAATGACATTTAAGCTCAAACTTTCACAAGAGTGGGTGAAGAAAGCAAAGGAGGAGGGGAAAGTAACGAGGAAGACAGGAACTAGAAAGTGTGTTGCAGACAGAAAGGAGAACATTAACAAATAACCCCACAGCAGAAAAACTTAACCTGTCCTGTGTAAAGAGGAAAACCCAGTGGGATGGAACTGGAGTGGGTGAGTGAGGGGGGGACGTGGGGTAAGTTGAGGCAGGTGAGGTGCGCAGGAGGGGGATCATGTCTGGCCTGATAGGTCAGAAAAAGGATGGGGTTTTATCCTCAGGTCACTGGGAATCCACTGAAGGATCTTGAACAGGAGAGCAATATGATCAGATTTGCTTTTTTTTCCTTACATAAATCAAGATATGCTTGTAAATACAAGCAGCAGAAGCTCATAAATATCACACAGGTATTTAAAGAGAGCACAGCCTGTAATCCCGACATAATCGTACAAATATAAACAGGAGTGTTGATGAGGTGGGAGCAGTGGGGGTGATGGCCTGAGCCAGGAGTCTGGGAAGGCATGCACAGGTCACCTTTTTGTTTGTTTTTGAGGACTAGTTCATCTGATTTGACGCCAAGGTTGCATTTAGGTAAGCCCAGATGAGATCCCCGTTGAAAAACCTCCTGTTTCTTCAAAAGAAAATTTCTCCTCAAGCTTCCACCAAGACTAACCTCTTGTAGGTTGGAGACCACCTACAGGGTGTAATGTGAAAGGTGCTGAAAAACCACACCCATTCACTGTAAACTTTCTCCGCCTTCCACCAGTGTCTAAAATTCCATGATCATAATTCTCTTCTGCTGAATTTTCAGTTGTCAAATATGCTGGCCCTAGATCTAGCCTGCCTTCCTGGGACAAAGCTGGGTTTTGTGTTTTCTCAGGGATGGGTGGATTTGAAGCTTTTTGAGACCCACACAGGGGCAGGGAGGGGCCAGGAGACTGGACAGATTACAGAGAGCAAGAGTGAAAGCAGCTTGGGCTCTCCTGTGTGTAAAGGTTGCATACATAATGTTACAGATATATCTTTACATAAACCTATGTAAACATACACAGGTGTACTTTTGGCATAAACTTGACTTTATAACATGGGAAGCAATCATGGTGAGGAACATTGGCTCTGGGGTTGGACCAACCTGGGTTCAGATCACAATCTTTGTAACTCTAGGAAAGTTATGGCACCTACCTTCTAGGGTGGTTGGGAAGATTGCATGAGATAGTCTGTTTAAAGTCTTAGCAATGGTCTGTGGCATAAAGGTTACTTACTAAGATTATGTGTATATTTCTCCTTGTGCAAGCCAGTGTGTGTCTGTGCATGCAGATGCCGATGTGGATATGTCAGGGAGATAAAGTGTGTTTAAGAACAAGAGAGGTGAAGAAGGGAGAATGTTGCCCATCCCTGCAGCAGAAGTGCCAGACCTGGCACTGGAGTGTGAGGGGGCTGCAGGGCTGCTCACAGAGAGGACAGCTCAGCTTTACCAAACAGGAAACAGAGGAAGGAACAGCAAAGGGTCTTGAACCATAAGGGGCTTCTTGATAAGCACAGACTGTAAAGTGGAAATTGATTGAAGGAGACAGACAACAGAATGCCATGCAATATTGTTGAAGCTCAAAAAAACCCTCCATAAAAGGGAGACGGAAAAAAAAAGGAATTGAATATGGTCTCTGAAATTGACACGTCTCCAAATTAGGCCTCTATGCTCAGAGGACATGTGACTCCATCTGCTCCATCCTAAAGCTCTCCTCTGTTTTGAGCTTCAGGCATGTTGGCTTTTTCAGAACTGACATGGAAGAACTTTGAAAAACATATAAACCCACAATCTATTCTCAGACCTCTTGGTCCCCTCTTAAGTTTTTCCCATGGCGGGCAGGTTATAGCTAGTGGCAGAGCATGTGCTTAGCATTCACAAGGCCCTGGGTTCTACCCCCAGTACCTCCATTAAAAGAAAAAAGATTTTCCCATGAAGTCATATCTAAGTGCTCTCTGCATAATAAAGAATTGTCATCCTCACGTCTGAGAGAGAAGATAGAGTAAAAACAGAACACTCAGTATCTAGTCCCAGTTCTGCCCCTAACTCACTGGGCTACTTCAAAGAATCTCTCAACCTCTCTGGGCACAGCTGCCTCACCTGCCAAAGAAGTTGATTGGTCAGTCTGGGTCCTGATCTTTTGACTTCCTGCCATTCTAGACAAGGTTTAGCTCCCTTCAACCATCGCTCCTCCCCTTAAAGTTGTATCACCATAGGACATGGGAGTTAAGAGCACAGACCACCTGCTTCTTGCTAGCTGTGACTCTGGGCTGAGTTCTCTAACCTCTCTGCACCTCCGTTTCCTTTTTTGTAAAATGAGGGTACAGAAAATTGTAGTGCATGATGATGCTAGCACGGGTTGCTAAAAGGATTGAGTGAGTTAGTGTAGGTGAAGTATTTAGAACAGTGCTTGGCACAGGTGAGGGCAACTGTGGTGTTAAGTAATATTA